CCCTTCCCTTCCCTTCCCTTCCCCTCCCTTCCCTTTCCTTTCCTTTCCCCTTTCCTTTCCTTTCTTCCTTTCCTTTCCAGGCCACCTCTGGGACTCAGTTGTCACTCCCCTTCTCTTTCAGAGATGCTCCCTTCTCTCTTTCAGACACCTCCAAGGAAATCTGTAGGTAGGATGTAAGTATTCTCTGCAGCTCCCACCTCCTTTTTGTTGTTTGCGGTAGGTTTATGTGTCCAGGCAAGTCTTGAACTTGCTGCTTACCTGTTAGGATGATCCTGATCCTCTTGCCTCTCCTTCCCAAATGCTAGAATTACAGGCATGGGACACCACACCTAGTTTATGTAGCGATGGGCTCAAACTCCGAGCTTTATGCTTGCCAGGCAGGTGTCTGCCACCTCAGCATTGTCTGCAGCCACTGCAGTCCCTACTCTACAGAGGTGGCTGGAGGCCTTGGCTTCCCACTAGCAAGTCTATATATGGCCACGTTAGCCTCAGTTCTCAGAATCTGGTTACAAAATCAAATCTAATACTCTACGCATTCGGCCCTTCTTTCCAGAGGCTAGAAAAAAATTGTGTGCAGCTGAGATGGTTTACAATGTGCACTTACTCATATTGGTGCATGTAAGCCTCATAAAATACTCAAAAGGTAATCAATCAGAAAGGAAGAAATGATATTTAAAAATAACTTTGCCGTTGATGTAACCGCTCCATATGCTGAAGGAGCTGGGGGTGAATCTCAGTGTGGATATATTCTGTTGTTGGGAAAGGAGGGTGGAAGAGCAAATCTCCCCTCCGCCACTGGGGCCTGAGTGACAGTCTGTGTGAGGAGAGAGGGTCAAGGTGAGGACTGAGGACTGGATGTCGCTACAGGCGTGCACTTGTGCCTGAGGGCAGGAGAGAGGCTGGGGACATTTTGTTATTGTTGTTTAGAATTTCGTTTGTCTTGTATATTTTCATTTATAATTTATTATTTGAGACTTTCAGACATGCATTTAATATCTTTTGATCAAATCCATGGAAGCCTAACCCTTGTCAAGGAGCTATTAGCAACTGATGGCTGCAGGCAAGGTGGGGGACTCAGTTATCTTTTTAAAAGATTATTAATGTGTGTGTGAAGTTATAGGCAGCTGTGAACTGCTGGACACGGATGCTGGCAACCAAACTTGGGTCCTCCGGAAGTGTAGCACATACTCTTAATCACTGAGCCATCTCTCCATCCAGTTTTCTACAGTAGTGAGGCCTCTGGTAGGTTGCCCATACCAGCCCATGTTCCAGTACGTGGAACTATGCAGTTCCATGCACTAACAGACTTTCTGAGGAATAGGACCCTGAGTGGGATGGGACTGGTGTTACCAAGAACAGTGTCGGGGTTTGGAGCAAGCAGCTGCCCGGCAATGGACTTGGGCGTGTCAGAATGCTGGCGGCCATGCGGCCTCCCTCAAGTACTTGGGGAGGCAATGGGAACCAGAGAATATGGTGGGAGTGGCACCTGATTTTCACAGTGAAGGATTCGTGGATAACAAGGGAGGGCAGACATAACAGCATTAGCAAATCAGCACAGACGCGACGAGGACACTGCAGCAGGAAAATGAGCAAGGGCCAAAAGCACCAGGCAAAGGTTTCACAGTTGGGAGGAGGACTGGATCATTGTTATAAAACAGTAATCTAAATGGATGAATAAAGCACAGCCACTTGCTAAAACGGACGGTCTAAATTTGACAAGGAAAAAAGAGGGCAAGGGCATAAAATGATAACTGATCAGGTTGTGTTCATGTATTTAGGAATGTGTATGCACACATATGCAATAATATGTAAAGAAAAGAGACCATAAATTTAAAAGAATGCATGAGGGAGGCTGAAAGGAGAACAGGGAAGGAAGGAAATGATATAACCATATTATAGTCTCAAAAATTATAGCAATAATAAAAACAGCGAAACCACAAACTACTACAACAAAGGAGTGAGCTGCGGGGGAGGGGCAAGCAAAAGGGGCTAGCACAAGGTTACATGATGCTCTGAGAAAGGAAATAGGTCAATTCTCAACATACGAAAGGTAAATTAAGAACATGTATCAAGGGAGCTAACAGCAATGACATGCAGGGCATGGTGGTTCACACCTGTAATCCCAGCGTTCAGTAGCTGGGACAGAACAACTGTCACAAGTCTGAGGCTAGCCTCAGCAGCATAGTTCCAGTCCACCCTGGGCTACAGAGTGAACCTTATTCCCCCCAAAGCCAACAACAACAAAAACAAACTGAAATGGATTAAGTAATCAAACATTTAAAGTTAGAACCATTAATCTATAAAAAACATAAAGTATTATATCCTTAAGATACCCACTGCATAGAGCAAGCCAGAGCTAAGTATGTGAGAAGGCCAGCTAAGGGCCTGGTGAGATGGCTCTATGGCTAAGAGAGCTTGCTGCTCTTCCAGAAAATCGGAGTTCAGTTCCCAGCACCCACATCAAGAGGCTCAGAACTGCCTGTAACTTCAGCTCCAGGAGGATCCAACACTTCTGGCCTCCAAAGCACTCACAAAAATATGCACCTCCTCCCCCACACAGACGCCCCACAATAAAGATAAATCCTTAAAACCAAGGTTTTTATTTTATTTTTTTTATGCTAACTAAATGCTGGCTGCTACTGCCGCCTGCTGTCTGCCACACCAAAGATGCTATTGAAATCAGCGAAAGAAAAGACAATGTATGGCTAAACGGACTAGGTGGGGTTTCATGACCTCATGCCCAACTATGGCCAGAGACTAACTCCATCAACAACAGCTTCTGGATCTTGTAAATGCTCTGCACTAAACCTGAGGGGCACAGCAGCCAGATAGCATGTACCCACTTGGCCTGGGTTCAGCTTCACACACAGAGCCCAGCCAGTGTAGCTCCAAAATCACTAGCATCAGGAAGATCTCGAGAGGCAAGGTTAGGAAAGAGGAGATGAGGGTGGCTCAGGACCAAGCTAAGCCTGCGCTGAGGGAACCAAGAAGCAATGACACAGGCATTCTGAAAACAAAGCAGAACAGTTGGAGAGGTCTGAAATCAATGTGCCTCTCGTTTGAAAACCTCTTAGCCCTGCTCAGTCTCTACTCAACCTCATTCTCTTTTACCTCCCAGGAGGCCTACTTCAGCTGTGCTTGGGAGAAGCCCCATCTTGTTATTTGGAAGCTGTCATCTTCTGCCACACTGGGTTCCCTACTTTGGGAAAATAATTTGGATTCTCTGTGTTTGAAAACTCACAAATAGCCAGGCAGTGGTCCCAGCACTTGGGAAGCAGAGGCAGGCAGATCTCTGAGTAGCCAGCCTGGTCTACAGAGTGAGTTCCAGGACAGCCAGGGCTACACAGAGAAACCCTGTCTCAAAAAACAACACCAGGCTAAAAAGTATTCCAAATGTCTATGGCCACACTGAAAGGCAAACATTCAAATATCTTTCTAAATCTCATCTCCACCCCCTCTCTCCAGGGTCTCACTACATAGCCCTGGCTGGCTGGAACTATGTAGATCACAAAGGTCTTGAACTCACAAAGGTCTATATGTGTCTGCTGGCATTAAAGGGATACACCACCGTTACCTGACTATCCTTTTTCTTTTGACTATGTACATGCATATATTGCTTGCGGGTTACTGGGGCACATGTGTATCTGCGTGTGTGGAGGTCAGGGGACATCCTCGGGAACACTGTGTACTCCCTTTGAGTCAGGATCTCTCCTTGACCTGGATTCACCAAAGCAGGCGAGGCCACCCTGGGGGTGTGCACTTCTCCAGCACCGGGATAAGCCTGTGCGGCCACACTTGAGATTTGCACACGGTTTGGGCACTCAGATGCTCATACATGCACAGCAGATGCTTTACTGACTGATCCATTTCCCAGTTCTCACTCTTGAAATGACTGCGAAAACAGCGTAGTTTCCCCTGACTTCCTTGCTGTGGTGGTGGCATTCGGATGCAGTCTTGTCCAATAGGTTGTGAGGAGAACTCCGCTGAGGGATTTTGGGGTAGGGAGATATTTTCTCTTCCTGTGTGCAGAAGAGAAGGTCCTGCCCTGCTCCTTTCTCTCTCCCTTCAAAGGTGGCTCAGATTGTGGAACTGGTACGAGGAGCGTCATAAGCCATTGCCTAGAGTCTGATTGTAAAAATGGCAACCTCCATCCACTCCTAGGTTTCCCATAAAGAGTTTTCTTCAGGTCACAGACACAGTCTTCCACCTCTGAAGTCGCAGTGGGTCTTATAATTGCATCTTCTATCACTATCTCCACCCATACACACATACTTGGT